CTTACCTCCTTAAATGGACGGCTGGTCCCGAATGACCACTCAACCGCCCAACAAATTTTAGACGGATTGCAGACCGACCGATTGCCTCGAGAAACCCCTTAGCCACCTGATGGATCCAGGGACGGGCCCAAATATTTCGTACATAACAACTTGCCCCTCCGCCATCGGATTTTGACCAATCGACCAATCAGTTGCTCACTCAAGCAACCACCATCCAGTCCCTTCAATTGGCTGAACAACCCTTTGTCCAGACGGCTCATTGGTCGCTTAAACAAGCGACCAACTGACCGCCTTCTCAAGCGAATGAACTACTGTTTGACCAAATGACTGGCCAACCGATCAGACGATTAACAGACCGTCTAATTAAACGACCAACTAATAGACCTTTCTTTTGACCGACCTCCATATCGGCCGTCTCATCCTTCTTCGCCCGACTTCCTCTTTCGACCGACCTCCGTATCGGTCATCTCATCCTTCTTCGCCCGACCTCCGTATCGGCCGTCTCACCCTTCTTCGCCCAACTTTCTCTTTTGACCGACCTTCATATCGGCCGTCTTCGCCCGACTTCCTCTTTCGACCGACCTTCGTATCGGCCGTCTTCGCCCGACTTCCTCTTTCGACCGACCTCCATATCCGACCTCATCTTGTCCGACCTCTGTGCCCGACCTTATCTTGTCCGACCTCCGTGCCCGACCTTATCTTGTCCGACCTCCGTGTCTGACCTCATCTTGTCCGACCTCTGTGCTCGACCTTATCTTGTCTGACCTCCGTGCCCGACCTTATCTTGTCCGACCTCTGTGTCTGACCTCATCTTGTCCGACCTCTGTGCCCGACCTTATCTTGTGCGACCTCCGTGCCCGACCTTATCTTGTCCGACCTCCGTGTCTGACCTCATCTTGTCCGACCTCCGTATCAGACCTCTTGGACTATACATCAATCTAATTTATAAGCCCAATACATTATTATTATTATTATTATTATTATTATTATTATTATTATTATTATTATTATTATTATTTGTACTCAACAACTTGCCTCCTCCCGCCCGACTCCTAAGCGTTACTTCTTGTGACGTTTAGGAGTTTGTAGGCCATCATCCGAGGCCACGTCAGCCTCAGATCCGACCTCCATTTATCGCGGGCAGGTGATGGCCTGCGCGGTGGTCGATCTCGTACTACCATTTCCTTTAACTTCAGTTCGAATGAGCCATCCTTTTATGTCCCACTGATTTAGAAGACCTTCTTGATGAGGAACCAAAATTAATTTTTAATCACTGGGATGAAGATTCCAATGCAGACAAAGGAAGTTCCCCGCGTATATCAATGTCTGATAATGAATAAACCCCACTTTGGGTCCGAACCCCCTCTGTTTGGGTTTTGAATAAACTTCTTATTCATGCATTTCTTTTATCTGAAAAGACAGGAATATACCCCTTCAGATATCTAGCATTAATACAATCATGTACTCTTTTTCCTTCTTGATTTATTATAATAAGGCACCATTCTCAATCTTCTTCTAAATAATAAATGGCCCCTCCTAATTCATTGTTTTAGTCCTCCGGCGCCGGAGACGCCCGCGTGGCTCGCCAAAATTCACGTGTCTCGCCAGGTCAGCGACACCTGGCAGACATGTGGCCTCCGACGAGCCACGCGGGTGTCTCTGGCGCCGGAGGACTAAAATAGAGAAAATTTTTTACTTATGAGACTAGTTCGCGACAGACTCCACTTACGGTACTAAAATGATAAGGGGTCCAATTACGAGACTAAAAAACAGTTTACCCAAATTTTAATAATAAAAGTGGAAGCCGGACAGACTGCATAAATTGAAGCCATAAAATAATACTGCGTTCATCCCATAAGAAGAGTACTATAGACTTTTTGCATCTTGATATTTGAATATTAATTATTATATCAATGCATCAAGAAAAATAATAAAAATACCTCTTTAGTCTCTTATAATACAAATACAATGACATTTGTAAAATAAATTATACAAATATAAAAATATTTTATTTTTAATATTAAATGTAATAACACAAAAAATACATTATGCTGATTTTATGGGACGGAGATAGTATAAGATAAAAAAAAAAAAAAAAAAAAGAAATCAAACAAACGATTGTTGCTTTAAGGTTGATAGTTTCTAAATAACAATTAGATGGTTTTACTTGTATGTATACCAAAATAAAATATTGAACTAATCAATTTGTAGGTAATAATTCTAAATAAATAAATAAATAATAAAAAAAAAATTACGTAATAAACTTTTTTATGTAAACTAAAATTTTGTTTAGTTTTGATTTTAAACCAAAATTATTACTATTTAGTTCATATGATTTTCATCTTATAAAATATCTTATTAAATAATTTTTAAATCAAATTTTATATAGAAAGCTCATATTCAAACCATTTATTTATTTATTTGTTTGTTTTTGGGGTCCCTACAACTCGGAAATAGGTCTGAGTCTAATGATAATCTATATTCCATAAGCTGCTTTCACGACGTGGTAGGCCTCTACTCTCAACTTTTATATTTATATAATATATATATTGGACCAACTTCACTTTGGATGGACCCTATTCCTACCTATCATGTCATAAAAATAATTTTCCTTTTTTACTTCAGCACTTTTTAAATCTCGTGATGTTTTAAGCAATATTTTAATATTACACTTGCTAATAAAGATATTTACTTTAATAATATTCAAGACATTTGTGTAATGACACATTAAAAATTATAGTTAACAAATATTCAATTTAAATATGCTTGCGTCCTCACAATAATATATACGTAACAAAACAACTACCAACATATGCATTTAATTTCCATTAGCACAATGATCATAAAAATAAATAAATAAATAAAAATTAAAAATTTAAGCCGTTTTATGATTTTTCAAACACCTTTCCATGCGTGTTTTGTTGGAAGATTTTACCTCAAGTTTATTACTCATTCCGTCCTCACTACGGTGTTTCTTTTACTGTCCACAAAGAAATTTAGGATGTGTATAATTAGTAATAATTAAGAATGTACGAGTAAAAATAATTTTAAATTAAGATTAACATAAATCATTAGTCTAATTAAAATTAAAAATATTATAAATTAAAAAATTAAAAATAAAATTAAAGTGTATAGTTCTTTTCCAAAAAAAAAATGACAGAATAAGTGAGACATACAAAAATGGAAATATGGACACCGTAAGTGAGACGGAGAGAGTATTATTTATTAATTACTTTTTAAAAAATATTAAATCAAACATATATATTTTCTATTATATCAAAATATCACTTTAATACATATTTATATCACACTATGTACCTATTCAAAACTCAAACACAAAATCTAAATCATCAACCAAACAGACCTTAACACTATCCCAGAATTCATACTCCCTCATCAGATATAATTAGGTTAGATTTTTTTTTATTTTATTTTTTTTTTTTTTTTTTTTCTGCGTTAAATTTATACACAATTCATTTTTTTAAATAAAATATTATTCCTATAATTCTATTACTTCTACATTAAAAAAATAATAATCAATTTATCATTACTTTTTCTATTTATCATATCACCTTTTTTTTTTTTTTTTTTATCAAATTTTAGTAAATTTTCTATAATCCCCCATTTTACTTTTAAATACTTTATTTTTATATTTCTCTATCTATCCGTTTATTTTTTATACGGGGTTTTAGAAATATTACTATTATAATATAATGTAGTAGAAATAAAGGTAAAAAACACTAAACTAATTTTATCATTGTTGTATGATACAAAATTAATGATATTTTTGTAATATATTGTAAATTAAAAAAGTATTTGTAACGTTAGATAGATTATATAGTTACAAAAAAAAAAATAGATACTTTGTTATATAACAGACCAAAATAAAAAAATAAATAGTTTGTTAGAGAACGGAGAGAGTATTAAAATATAACTTCTTAGTTTTGTATACAAGCAAAATAGCATAAACATCACGAAGGAGAGTATTATAATCATATATACATAAGTATGGTTAAGAAGATGGCTACATTGCTGATTAAAATTAATCAAGTATTGTGCTGCTAATACATAGAATATAGTACTTTCTCAGTTATAAAATAATAGTTTCATTTTGTTATTTTTATCCGTTTCAAAATAATTATTTTATTTTATTTTTAATAATTAACTTATTACCTTTTTACAAAATTATCCAAAATTTTCACAATAATTACATAAGTATGGACATTTTGGTCATTTAAAAATATTTTTATACACACTATCAATACCATACTATTATTTCTTAATTCTCGTGATCATCTCAAATGTCCTTATTGTTCTGAGACGAAAAGCGTATATTAATATTATAAAATTTGTGTCAAACATAATAGAAGGGTACTATATATACTAATAGTTAATAATAATAATAATAATAATAATAATTAATTTATGCAAAAAATATTAATCCCTAAGTTTCATATACTCTACCATTTTTTTTTTTTTTTATGAAATAGAAAATAATTAACTATATAAATGATATTTTATGTCATCACATTATTTAAATAAAAAATATATATGTAATTTTCTGTCACATTATATTAGATAATTATCAAATTATATCGAATTGGTGTCAAAAGTAATTAATTATTTGTGAAATATGCATGAAAACGTGTAACCCGACCGAATCCACCTTGTTTGTCCTAAACACAAATAATTTATAATTATATTCATTAAGCAGTCAAATACTCCATTATATTTGAATACATACATTCCTTCTCTCTGTCATCATCCCCCTCGGCTCACACGCTTCTCCAACCTTCCCACCACCTTCCTTACAAACTACACTCACACGCATATACATACATACATACATACATATATATATATATATATATATAAAGAGCAAATTAAAGCCATTTTTGACGTGACATCCCAAAACTACCAACTATCCCAATCAGCAGCCATATATAAATAAATTATTTACAATTTGGGCATTTCTTTTGATTTAGATTAAGATTCATATGATGGCAGGCGGGGAGGGCAGGAATTGGTGGGTTCTTAATAGGCTGAAAAAGGCCGTCAAGAAGATCATAGTCCTGCTGGATTTCGACACCACCCGATTCAAACTTGCCTCGCTCATCGGCGCAAGAAGATCAAGGCTGAGCAGCTTCGACAGCCGCCGCCTCGGCCTGACGGCGGTCGTCGTCTCCGACGAGGACGACGGCGGCGATGAGCAATCTTCTACAAGGAGAAGGAGCAATAGCCTCCAGAGGACGAGCAGTTATCCGTTGGATGACGTGGACAAGAGAGCAGATGCTTTTATTGCGAATTTCTACAAGCAGCTTAAGTACGAGAGGCAGATATCGCTGCAGTTGAGGTACACTCAGGCTCGGGGGGGCAACAGCTTTGGATCTCAACCATCTCCATGAACATGATCGACTTAATTCATTCATTCCTTCCTTCTTCAGATAATGATTTTTATTAGGGTTTTCTGAGGATTAATGAATTGGGATCCAATGAAATAAGGATCGATATATGGAAGAGATCATCGATCTGATGATGGTTTCGTGACAGCCATTGCAGACTTTTCAGATCAGATGGAGAAGGACTTGAGTTTTATTTGGTTGAGGTCGCCATCAGAAAAAGGAATGCATCCACCTTTGTTAGTTTTTTTTTTTTTTTACTTGTTTGATTGCTTATTATTATTGATTTTTTTATTATTATTTTTTTTTTGATTCGGACTTTTACAATAAAATGGGCTTTTTCGGTGTATGATCATTGTATATGATTTCCAGAATAAATGAATTAGTATAATATATGATTTTCAATATACATACCAGTAATATTTATATTTTCGCATATAAATATCAACTATTAATGCAAAATATATTGTATTATTAATTTTTCATATTTGACATAAAATAGTAAAAGTGTCTTTACTATACGAAATTATGATAAATAATATTATTTTATTCAATTTAATTTCATATTTACTTTAATATATTTGAATCTTATATTATTAAAGATCTCATACAAAATACTAATTTGGAGAATTATCCATACAATCTAATTAATCCCTAATATTACCTAATTCTACTTAATAAAATATCTAAATTATTATTTATTTTAAATATTAGAAGTACTTTATATAAATATAATAATAATATTTTTGTTTAATATATTTTAGATTCATCTAAAATTTACTTTTTTTTTAAAAAAAATCATCAATAAAATATAAAAGGTTTGCTCAAACTTAAATTATAATTTTAGGCATAAAATAAAATATATTTAATAAATGATAAAAAAAATTCCAATTATATACATATATGTCATGTCATGACAATATCACAATTAAATTTTAATATTATTATATCTGAAAATTCAAATAAGGATCTTCTAGAGTACTTCAAAAAGCCCCTAGGTAAATACTTTGTATCTGCGATTGAAAAAAAAAAAAAAAAAGAGTAGTGAAAATTTTGCCGATGGAGAGAAAATGAAAAAAGAAATACGTTAAAAATAAAATTTTAATAAAACTGAAAAGTAAATAGTGGAAAAATATATTCAAATTTTAAAGAAAGCCAGAAGAGAAACGAATAAACTTGCGAAATAGTAAATTGCAATGGATGTAATATACAAAAAAATTTAAAATAAAATAATAAAGATAAAGTTGAAAACTATTGTGTTGACCCGGAACCTCTTTTTCATCCACTACCAAAAAAATGGTCGCATTTTTTCGTTACAAAAAGCTGTTTGTAATGATTTTGTGCTGGATTTTGACCGGTGCATATACTCGAGCTACAAAAAGTTCCTCTACCGACTTTTTCCGCAACAAAAAATGGGCGGTCAACGCATTTATTGTAACAGTGTTTGTAATGCTATTATTGTACTTTCGATTTTTACTTTCGATTTTTTTGTAAGGGCCATTTATCGTTATAAAACAATCGTTACAATAAATGCTCTTCCATTTGTAACGGCTTTTGTTACGGTAGTAATTTCGGTACAATAGCTGGTTGTCAAAAAACTAGTCAATATTTTTTGTACTAGTATTTGTAACGGCCAATTTTTCTTAAAAAAAAAAGGTATCGTTATTTTTTCAGTAATAACCTAAAAAATTGGTATCGGAACCGAAAAACCTGTACGATATGAGAAAATACTGTCAAATGACATTACAAAATATAAAAATATTACAAAAATTTTGTATCACCATCAGTTGTAGCAAGTACGCACTGTCTAGGAACATAAATATTTCGCAATATAGTCTTACATATACGACAAAGCGTAGCAACAAACATACAAAATGTATCAGAGACAGCAAGTTCAACCAACATAAAGGACTTAGTTAACATCAATCCACAAACAAAAGTCAATCATCATAAAATCACGTGCCATGTTGCAACGCCCCATGCAACGTCAATGTGAACATACACCGCAGTTACGGGCGACGAACAAGCTGTCAACATTGTGCAAAATTATATAGGAATTTATTTGGGAGATGGTTAACTTGTAATCTAATAGAAGTTCTTGTACATATGGTTGTGTACATCTTTGAATGTCCAGTTGATTGGCTCGACGCGGACAACCTTACCGAGTGTTTGTGCTCCAGATGTTGTCTGTAGAATGAGCGCAGCCTTCGGAACGGTAGCAGTTGTGAAAAAAACCCTCACTATGTCAACAGTGTCACCTACAGACATATAAAGAAAACATGTACATATCATCAGAAAAAAAATAAAAATCACGAAATATTTAATCAATATAAAATATTAAAGATATTAACTAAAACATTATAGTATACGTAAGAGAAAAAGTCGGAGATGATTCGCCTAATTTAACCATCCATATAACAACGTAATCAAAATTGTAAAACATAAATCAGTATAAGTATAATTCTAGCATGGATCCTATCTTGATGACACCCGGACCAACATTTGTATAACCCGACAAGTATAAAACAACCAACAATGTGCTCAATTTATTTGATACATGTGAAAGCTGTTTGTTTAAACAGCCAACTTAAATATGTATCAATTTAAAAACATCAATTAATTGAGTGTTAATGTATCCAAATACCAAACACATAAATTAGATAAAAAAAATTAAAGTGGTTTGGGGATAAAATCCTGTCACCCACCAGCCTCTACAAATATATTTAATTATAGATTTATATGCTACCCAACAAGGTCATATGGAGCAAACAACCACCTAATTACAATTCCACATAAATAGCATTGTCACTATATCATGTATTACTATTTTGACTCGCTAACAACCATAGAAAATGCTTTACTCAAAACGGTTGCAACCAAAACCGATTTCATATAGAGAATATAACTAGGTTGATCACAAACCTGGGGTAGGGTCGGATAGCAACACCCCCTCACCAACAACGCATTTTTCCAAACCACGAGATATGAGAAGAACAGGAGACCCGATCTACATGAAAAACGTTATCATATGTCAATCATATAATCTACATGCATGTTCTCGAATGTGGTGGTGATGTATTAGTAGTGGATATTGTTATCTAAAGGGTGACTGAGTTAACAAATACAAATAAAATTAACAACGAAAAATTACTAACCGTCAATGGGTTATGGACATCAGTCCCCACCTTCCATCGGTGCGGCTAGAACACTGCAAAATAGGTGAGTATGAAACGACATGACTCGCCCCAAATAATACAATGCAAAACTAATTAATACACGATATATGCATTCTTACAGGGCCACGTATTGAGGCATGCGGCGAAGAATTCAAAAAAGCAGACATCTCAACACGGATGGTTCTAATTTCAGACATCTCAACGCGGGCAGTCCTAAATTTAGACATAAATTCCCTAATCTCAACTAGGCCTTTCTGAAAGTCCTCAGCAAGCTTTCAGAGATCAGGACCATCGAGCCCTCAAGTCAAATGACTCCGGTGGTAGGCAGAGCTGACCGCGCTATCAACAACCGTTTTTTCTATTCATTCCCCTCCCCCACAGTGCACGGCAATACAAAGCCTTATGAGCCGCCGAGGTTCTTTTATCAGCAGGAATTTTTTTAAGTTCGTCATTCAAATTAGCCTACACAATTTCAGACAAATAAAAACTATAACGACGAGAAGTACTACAAATCCATTCAACAAAAGGTGAGATAGGTTTGCATACCAAAATATCACCAGTCATCTCATCATCACCCCTACGTCCATTCGTGCGAGACGACATCCAAATTTCCAAATTATCAGGGTCTTTCCCTGTTGCCTTTATCTAAGAGTTAGCCAAATAAGAAACCGTTAGTTAAGTTCACTTAGACATAAAAAACTTGAGAGTCATAGTTCGGGATTAAATTATTGCACAAAGAAGAGAATCAAAGACCTCCTCCGCCAACGCTGTGAATGGTTTCTTGCCAGTCCTGTGCGGAAACTTTCTTTTGATGGAATTATTGGTATTTCTCCTTGCAATATCTTGTGAACACCGACCCATAAGAATTGGAGTAGTATAGGTAGCATGGCAAGAGCATAAAAAGATGAAGGAAGAAATGTAACTTGCCTTAACCTTATCATCCTTCCAATACTGGTTGATGTACCCAACCCTCCCCTTTTCTGGTTGCAATATTCATTCATACAAACAATACACACACATATATATAAACTTATAAGTGTGCTATGCCTCTACCAACTATATAGTAAATTTTAAATGTAAAAATAAAATTTATGCTAATCACATACTTCAGGAACAAGTTGACATGCCATGAACAAACTTCCCACTTAAAACTTATGTTAGAACTAAGAATATTATATCGAGGTGCCTAGTAATGAGTTATACCCTATTTGTAAAAATGTCTGAATAATTTCTTTCCAGCGAACTATTTATTAGACATAAAGTAAGGCACAAGAGGAATTGATCTAAGTATCAAGTAGTGTCAAGAAGAACCATTAAATTACAAAATCACTCATCATCTATGTAACAATTATAAGCCCTAAATCTAACATTACAAACAAAAATTAAAAAAAAAAAGGAAAATCCTAACTCGTAAAAAAATACAAAAATAAACAAAAATAAATAAATCCAAACTTACGGGAAAAGCTAGGGTTCGCGTTTGAGGACGTCCGCAGGCAGCGGTGGAGCACGGTCGACGGCCGAAGACGGTGGGGTAGTGCGCTGTTCAGGGGTGTAGGCCGGAGGACAGCCGGTCGGTGAAAAAGAACACTAAGAAGAAGACGATGACAAAGAAGAAGAAAAAGAGGAAGAAGAAGATGACGAACCAAAAGATGAAGGAAGAAGAAAAAGAAAACTAAAGAAAAAGAAGAATATGAAATAACAAGATGAACAGAGCAAGAAAGAAGAGAGGAAAGTGGAGAGGGGTTGCATGATTGATTAGGGTTATGTGTAATAGGTTACCTTTTCTTGGATCCAACATATATATTGATATATATATATATCAGAGTGCAA